ACACACACACACACACACACACACGCACGCATGCACACACGAACGCGCGCGCACACACACACACACACAATCAAAACAAAAGCCACGTCATTAAAACCACTGGCACATGCAACAATGAACATTAATCTTTTCATTACAGATTAATGTTTTGCCAAAAAAAAAAAAAACATGATCCACATGTACAGCCCATCTAAACTCTTCTACAGACGCTGCAGATGATCTGTTTTTATTTATTTTTTTATGACTCGGATGCATTGTCGCTTTTCCTCTCCTCTCTCATTCATCTCTCCTCGTCTCCTTCACTCGTCCTGTATCCGTCCCTCCTCTCCCTGCCTCCTCCTCCTCTCGCTCTCACCTATGCACTTCCAGGAGTAAATAATTAGGAAACAAAGAAGAGACGCTGCCGGCTTCCTCTCCAGCTCATTTAGACACACAGCAGTGTTTGTGATCGTGCAGTGCCACTTCATTACGGCCAGTTGTGGGTCTGTCTGCTGCAGAACGAGTGGGTGTGAGATGCTAGAAATGTTTTCAGAAGGGAGAAAGGGAGAAAAAAAGAGGGGAAGAGAAAAAGGAGAGGAGGCAGTCATGTGTGTGAGTGTGTGTGTATCGCCTTGTTTTTCCTACATCGTGGGGCCCATAGGAAAACGCAGCCTCGTGGGGACCGGGTGCTCCTTGGGCCCCACAACTTTGGAGGCTGATTTTGGGTGTGGGGGTTGGGTTTAGGACCAAGGTGTGAATTGAGTTTAGGTTAGTTTTAGGGTCAGGTAGGTACCTGTGAGGTTAACTTTAGGGTTGGTGGTCAGGGTTAGGATATAAAATTTCAAAAAAATGAATGGATGTCGATGGAAAGTCTCCACAAGGATAGAGAGACATAGTGTGTGTGTGTGTGTGTGTGCGTGTGCGTGTGCGTGCGCGTGCGTGTGTGTGTGTGTGTGTAAAGTAAACTCACCTCCACCATCTTCTCTATGTGTTTCTTGATAATGTTCGGGTCAGCATTGGGCTTCACTGACACAGCCCACTCATCAATCATAGTGGGCTTGGGTTCAGGTTGTGGGGGCGGGCTGGAGTTCTGCTGCATAAAAAGAAATGCCAAATACTGTATCATGAGATTAATATAAAGGAAGGGCTTTAAAAGTAAAACTATTACTATGACAGAATGAATATACATTATAAATGAGAGCTGGAATATTTAAATTTAAAAAAAGCCCTTGGGTTTATATTGCCACGTGATTTAACTTTTTGTTTCCTGATAAGGTACAAATACACAAAAAAATTCTGTAATATTACAGCTACTCTGTAAGTATTTTTTTTTTATTATTTTAAGCTTTTAGATTTTAAATACAGTGAAGATGGTTAGTATGGACAATAATTATCACATCCTTTGTATTTGTTTTATTGAACGTAACAACAAAAGGTAACAGAAATATTCCTAATGTAAATTGTAATATATGTACTATTAAATGTAATATAAATTTCACTACAAACAAGTTTGCCCAACTTGTAGTTTATGACTTAGGAAAAAGCTCATCTGCCGACCGAAGCAAGAGGTGAGACCAGATTTAGCCCTAAACGGCTTCCTCCAAGCCGTTTCAGAAAGAAACAGCCACAAACCCAGACATCCTGATTGTAGGTGATAAAGTCATAAATGAGATTAAACTCATTTGCAGCAAGATAAACACCAAAGTACTTAGCTTTGATAATCATATGGTGTCTGATTTCACAGAGAAGTTATTGACGATCACAGATCAGTATCCGACAGTGAAAAATCTCAGACTGGAGCATGGAATGTGGTTAATAGCACGAATTCTGGAAAGAGGATTTCATTGCTGAACAAAGTTCAAGGTCTCAATGTGGAGAGTCTTTTTCAGTGAATCGCTGCAGACTGTTCAACGAGCTGATGGGAGATATAACAGACTGCTGATGTTGAACAAATTTCTTAAAGCTGCATGTGCTGGGAACTCTGGACTTTACAGAAAATGGCAATATTTCCTGGGAATGCAAACATCTCTTTAAGGCAGATGGAAGGAGTCTTGATAAATTTGGAGAGCAACTTTTCATTTGCAACATATTTTATTAAGTGAATCAGACGCCACAAGCCTTTGCTGCAGGCAGGAGACAAGAAAGTACATAACAGCTGATAACACGGRACCCTGAAGGACAACTGCAGCCTGCTGAGATAAGGGAACATGGAGTACAGATGATCCACAACAAGTGGGATCTCTCCAGAATGTAACAGAACAAGTGGAGCCCCCCTTAGCCCCACCAGAAGAACCCAAACCTTCTTCACCCCAGACCCAACCCACCTCTCTGCACTCAAAACAAAACCCCACCTCGAACACCCATGTAGGCCCAATCTCCAACCAGAGAACGATGAAGAGGCAGAGATGCTTTATCGRTTTTTACTTTCGCACAGATCTGAGAACAGACTGGGTGGAGATGGCTCGTTGTACGAAGGACGAGAAAGAAGAGTGGAAAAAAAAGATTAGAGGCCATTCTGTTGATGATGTAGATTTTGCTGTCTGGGTTGAATCTTTGGGGCTGGGATTTTAGAATTATTGCGATGCAAACATGATGAATAAATAAATGAAGAGCAGTTTTCACATTATGGTTTACATATAGTTTTGTGTTGACATTATTGTTGTTATGTCAACAGAAGAAATTTGTTGAATATTTTGTGGTTGATTAACTGAATATCTTGTACTTTGTGATTGATCATATTCATTTACCTTAAACAGTAATAGAATCAAAAAGTATTCATGTAATATGTGCTTTGCTCCAGCAGTATAAATACAACATTTGTATTTCAGAAATATAGAACTGTTTTAGAGGTAATGACATCATATCCGGGGTTTGACCAGGTTTATAAAAACACTGGAATGTCTCGTAATTTTGTCCTCTTGGACAGGATTGGACCGCAGCACTGTGATAATCTTTATATGTGTGCGAACAAACATTCATAGCTGAGTACTGGACCGGTCTCCTGTGCCTGATYTAGGTTCGCATTGAACACGATTCTTTTTATAATGTTCAATCACATTATTGGAAATCATTTCAATTGATAACTGTTTAAAAATGAAAATGATCCGATGCCCCTCTTTTGTAAATATTGCTTCCAACTCCCCCTGTAATACTCTGAATGCCCCCCACCCCCCAGTTTGGACTAGTCCAGAGACTAACCCAGCCTACATGTTCTAAGTGAACTGCATCGAAATGTAGAAACATTAGTATGAGGCAATGAAGTATGTTTACTATTGTCATAATAATGGAGTGTGCAGTGAAAGAGGCAATATGTGCTCCATTTAGGAAGCAGATTATGACATGATACCTGACTGAGATAGGAAAACTAGTACGAGGTTGGTTTCTTTAGAAGTAAATGTGCATTACTGGCAGTAGCAGCAATTAATGATGCAACACTTCAAGCCACAACCTGTCTAAGTATGGTAGCCCTCTGTTGTTAAAAAAAAGAAGGAGGTTAAGCCCTGAAGCTCGTTGCAGTAGCATGTCATCGACGTGCAAAAAAGGAAATGCAGACTTCAAAAATCAATCTTTTAAAGATGAGTGGCTGGAGGAATACAGTATGCATTCATTTGGTCCTAAATACATTAAGTTCTAGCCTGGTAGAAACCAGACCCTTGTCCTTCACTTTGCTTCATACGAGGGTCTGGACTCTCAGCTATGGAGAAGTGATTCTTAGTGGAGGCGTGGCCTCTGCTGAAGTTTAAAATGATTGGATCGGTTGGCCGCAACGTATGTGTGCCAGCTCCACTGTGAAGGAGGCTAAGCTAAGAAGTTAACCGGAAATCACGTGTGCTGTAAACAACCCTACTGAGAGGAGAGAAGTACCGAGCTGAATGAGACGACTGTAAATCAGAGCTGCTGCTTTGTCARACAAATTTAATTTAATTTGAAGCCTTATCAACACAGACTGGCTTCATTCACTTCCTCCACTGCYGTATGCTAAAATAACTAGCAGACACTGCCAGTGTTGCCAACTCCTGAGCAAGAAAAGTCCCTATTGGCTGTCMTAAAAGTTGCTAGAAGTCACTAGATGATGTCATCATTTAATTTGCATAGTTGGATGTTTGTCAATAATTGTGMTCTGAGCTATAGGAGAGATGATGAAGAGAAAAAAGTAAATAAAAACACTAAATATGTTTAGAACTGCAATTGAACTTAATTGAATTAAAAAAAAATTATGACTACAATGCTTAGATCCTCATAAATTAAATTTGTGGGAATCTTAAATTTAATCTGCAGTCTGTTAGATGTCACGAGGCACAGGGAGGAAGAGGTGAAGAAGTGACTGATCTGTGAGTCAAACACAGCTGGGTCCAGAGATTTAATTCACAGAGACAGTTTCAGAGAAAAAACATTACAGTAAATATTTTATCCTGCTTTGTAAACCAGACRGAAGCAGTAGCAGCTTTGCGCATGCGTGATTCATTTTCAGCGGTCTCCTCTCAGCTGACTTCAGCCGGGGTGGGGGTGCTGCACGAGGCTTCAGTGAGTCGGACGGCTTTAGGAAGCACTGCTCGCTGCTTGCAGAGGATCAGATGAGGAAAGGAAAAAAAGTGCTTGGAAAATGCTGTCGCCAAAGCTTCTAAAAGTCTCTAAAAACACCGGGAAAAGTCGCTAGATTTGTCGCTAGTCGCTTTTTGGAAAAAAAAAGTTGCTAGATCTAGTGACAAAGTCGCTAAGTTGGCAACAGTGGACACTGTGCAGAAAATCGACGTCATTCAAAACTCTGCCTTCTGTTCTCTGATTGGCCCAAACAAAATTCTCCTGAAGAAATCCTTGTCTGTGGAAGAAATCCAGATGGAGCAGTGAAGGGAAACTAGAAGTTTGAATCTGCTCAGCCACAATTGTAGTAAAAAGCTAATATTTTGGTGATTTGTAAATTAACCTTTAATTCAGTTACTCCATCTAAAAACATCTTTAGTGTTGAGTTTTAGAGAGATTCGTTTTTTTCTGCGATTCCTTCCAATGTTAGTATTTTGTCAGTAGCAATGTCTGTTGTTTAAAAGGAGAAATGCAGTGACTGCTGCACATCTGAAGCATAAAATGGCAACTCTGTTCTCTTGACCTCACAWTTGACACAAGCCACAAGTCGAGCGACTGCCACCTAGTGCYGGGTGGTATACCAGTTCGTTTCGAAAACCGTTTATTTTCAGAATTATTTGAATTTTCTGAATACTGACTCAGCRGTTTAAATAGCCTGAACCCATTCAAAATGTAACGTTGTGCCCGCCAATGAACTGTTTCACGRGGGACACTTTTCCTCGCAGCACCGCTATGCACATTAGCAAGCTAATGTTATTTTTGGAGTAGCTTCTAATAGGGCTGACACCACTATTAAACTAGTCACAATTATGTCAACTATTAAAATCATCAACGACTAATTTAATAGTCGACGTGTCATTTTTTTCTAACTTTGTATTTTTTTTATAGTCGACCAATCACCGATTAGTCAACTATAAAAATAATTGTTTGTGGCAACCCTAATTACCACTACTGTGCATGTAAGTCAAGGACAGAAAGGCAGACGTGACAGTGGAAGGTACCGCAGCAGTTTGGAGATAAAAACAAAATTAGAAAAAAAAAACCCGACACATCAACTTTTAAAATGGTCGACGATTTTAATAGTCGACAACAATCATGACTMGTCGACTAATCGTGGCAGCCCTATTCTCAATAACTTGCAGCGGGTGGCGATTCCACTGCTTATTTAGAATGATGTTTTAAAAAAGCTCTCCCATTTTTGCCATTGCTGAATGTAGTATACACCTCTTCAGTGACGTGCATGGATAGATTTCATGTGTGACATAAATGTATGGAGACTTTATTGTGCTTCTATTGTGAAAAGCCTGGGGGACTTCTGGAGGACGTAGTTTCCCATCGGGTTTTAGTTGACTGGTGCACAGAGGTTGAGTCGTCCCGTTAGGCTTTATTAAATAACACTAAAACGATAAACCCAATAATGATCTTTGCTCAACCCTGCTCCATCACGATCGTACCAAAATGCATGACTACTGTCTACAACCAGGCAAAGAAGAAGATATGTAGAGGAGGGAAACAGCGAAGACAGAGGTACACTAAAAAAATAGAAATAGAAATAGTTTCTGTGTTACAGAAAGAGTAACTTAAGCTAATGATACTGTAGTTTGCTGATCAATAAGCAACTTTTGTACATTTTATTATCAGCTGAGCTGTGATGAAAAGAAAAATGCCATCAAATACTGTAATACCGGTTTAACTGTTGAAAATACCAAGATATAAAATTTGGGTCAAACCGTCTAGCACTACAGTCACCAAAAAGTTAGGAAATTTGTGTGTGGTAGATTATTTCTTTGTTTCATTGTAACAATGCTTCTTTGCACCTGATTGGCAGCACCTGGGGGCACCAGAAGCTCAAAACAAGTGTCAACAGCAACAGTAAAATAAGCTGTTTGTCAGAGAAGATTTGGCAATTTTATGTTCGCAGCTCTACTGCTCATCCCACAAATGCATGTTCCTTWTAAATGTGGCATCTTTAAAAAGGGAAATTAACAGGCTCTTCAGTGATATAAGATTTATTTACAGCAAAGAAATATTCTACCAAACAAATTTTTCCTTACTTTTTGTGCYAAGTAAGCTTACTTCTGTGGGCAATCACAGTCYATTTTTTTGTGACTGACTTGACCAACAATAATAAAACTCCTATTTAAACCAGGAGATTTTTGTCAGCRAGCTGCTCACCACAGGCTTACGAGGTTCCCTCTGTAGAGACATCTGGTAAATCTCCTCCTCAGTGTGGTACTGGTCCAGAGAAACCTGCAAGGAAGGGTCTTGTGTGAGTCGGACCAATTACAAGATCACCATGAAAAAATTAAACATGATAGTCAGAAAAGCACAACATGGATCAGTACTTTCCTTTTTTTCTCAAGTTAAAAAACAATACCTCCTGTTGTATGTTGTCTTTCACTTTTTTATTATTCAGTGATATATTTAGTTGTTGTTTTTTTACAATTCCTTTTCACTCTGCCTCTTTCTGTGGCTCTGAAGGCTCAGTGGCAGCTAAACGCTTGTTTCCACTTTGGTGTAACCTAATACAGCATCTTTCAGCAGAGGCAACAGGTGTGTTCTGTCATTCGTAATTCGTTGCACGCTGTCACCTGAACCAGCTTCACTGGCTGACACATGTCAGAGGGAGATGAAAGCTCAGGAAGTTAGTTTGGTCAAATCCAATTAATGAGAACTTTAAAGGAAAAACAAAGAAAATCAGGACAGACGTTTTCAAACCTGAAACAACAAAATCAGAGTACCGACATGGGAGCATTTTGCTGTCTAGCGTATCTGGACATTTCTTACTGTTAAAAGAACTTATACTTTTTTATATTCTTATACATAAACTGACTGTCATAGATTAGTCACTAGGCCTCAGAAAAGTTTTAACTACTTTGTATAAACATGCTGTATATGACCTTCTACTCATGACTGAAAAGAATTCTTCCTAAACTCTAAACCTCTGAAATGAGGTCAGTATGTTTGTCTTCATCTGTTCGGGAATWATTTTCCTTTAATATTGATAGATAACCATTATCAATCAAGTGTTTCATGCAGAAAACAATGATTTGTAAGTTTTATAAGTCAATATTTTACACAGAAACCATTTTCAAAAGTTTAAGCTAAGGAATTGTACCATTTTTAGGAAAATWAAGTAATTTTGAATTGGATGGCAGCAACACAAAAATGTTGGAACATAGACAACAAAAGGCTGTAAGAACAGGTGGCATAATTAAAAACAGCTGGAGGTGCCTTTTGCAACTAATTAAACTGATTAGCAAAATCATTAAAGAGCCTGTGACAAGCATATTATTCAAATACAAAAAGTCAAAGAAAGCATATTTATATTTAAGAAATGTGGCACAACACATGATTTTACACTTTTTGTTACATAACTGGTAAAGTTTATTTTGAATTTGCCTCAGTCATTTGCAAATGATTAAAATCCGTTACAAAAATCTGATTCCCTTCAGTTTGTGTAAAACATACTGTTTTTTCATTGACCTCAGCCTGCATTAAATATAGTTTTTGTTGTTGTTTTGTTTTGTTTTATTTTATGCCAGTTAAAATTAAAGCCGTCTGCCACACAGAAGCATCCACTTCTAGTTGTTTTCTTCTCTATTCTTTGTAGAAATGTGTTTCCTGTGTTTTATTGAGCTGAAGTGGTTCATCAGGAAGGACAAAAGGCTCTTCTAGCTGYTTATCCAAATGATTTAAAGCTCTGTATTCTGGGTCAGGGCAAAGGTTAATGTTGAATTGTAAAGACCTAGCCTTCCTTGAAGGAATGCATGTCACTCACTGCCAAAGACTGAGATCATCTCAGGACGGTGGAAAAGACGGTGGTAGTATATTGGTCAAAACATGAAGATACACCTATAAGTGTTTTTTATATGTAAATGATTCTCAGCTAGAACCACCTCAAATTTAACCTCTGTGTCTAAAACTGATAGAGTTTTAGATTCAACTATTTAGTTTGGATAATGTAGCCATTGTGGTCATTTTGAATTGGGTCGACTGCAGTGTTTAATCAGTTGCAGATGTACAAATTTCTGGGGGTTTATTAAAAATCAGAGGTTTAAGAGATATTTTGCTAACGGACAAATAAGATGGACTCCAAAAAATATGCTGAGGTTTTAAAAGGAACCCTGACTATGTGTAACATACGGCATTATTTGATAAAAACTAATTATGCTTTGCTGCGTAAATGATATTGTGCCATTCATATGACAACATATTTTTAAAAATGTAAAGAACTAAACAGCAGACAGAATTTGTACAATCTTCATTTTACAGTTGAAGTAAATGTTTGTCAAATAATGTCCAATGTTAAAACTAGTCAGGGTTCTCTTAAGATCTTCCACAATGAGTAGTACTGGAGTATGTGTTCTGTTTGACTCTGAGCTATACCCACACCAATTTTTTTTAATATCTGTCTAAATAAATTACAACCATTTTCATGTTTTCTAAAAAGTGAGTCGACATTAGTGGCCATCTTAAATTGGGTTGACTCCAAATAGTTTTAAGTACACATCCATTGATTATAGTCTGTAAGTTTCATTTAAATCTGTCCATTGGTTCATGAGATATTTTGCTAAAATCCCTGTCACACTATAACGTTTTAGACAACTTATGCTAACTTATGCCACTTTTTGTCTAAATTACTAATAAAAGTTATATATTTGACCAATTTGTTAGAATAACAGTATGTACATGTCTAAGAGTTTGTTTTTAAATTCCATCTTCAACATAGATGTCTTTAAAATGTTCATAAGTTGGTATAAGTTGTCTAAAATGTTATAACGTGACAGGGCCTTATATGACAATGTTGACACTAGTTAAACAAAGATCTTGCGCAATCTCTTAGCACTCAGGATAGGTTTCAGCTACTACCATACAAAATTTACATCAACACCTGTAAAGGCCCTGTCATACTATAACCTTTTGGACAACTTATGCCAACTTATTAACATTTTAAAGACATTGATTGAATTTTTAAAAAGTGACTGGAAGCCTCTTTCAGGTATGTACATATTGTAATGCTAACAAATAGATCAAAAATAAAACTTTTATTAGTAATTTAGACCTAAAAAGAGTTTCATAAGTTGGCATGAGGTGTCTAAAATGTTAGTACGACAGGGAGTTATGGCCTCCTTTCTGTTTCTAAAAAATAGTTGGCRTGGGAGGCTATCAGTTTGACCCCAAAGGTTAATCAGCTCAAGGTATATCCAATATCTTTGAGGGAGCTTATTAAAATCTGTCCAATGGTTTAGGAGATATTTTGCTAACAGACAAACACACATACACACCCATTTTGACTTGCTTTAAAAATAAATAAACCTGTTGGTTACCTTTGTGTGGTTTCATTTTTTTAGCACAGCCATCCCTTCCCTGTCAAAAATTCAAGGGATCAATTGGCTTTTTTTCTCAATCTTATCRCTTCAAGCCAAGCAGGACTCCAGCTTGATCCAATTCATTTAGCGACAGCATAAGAAAATTGAGTATCGACTCTGTCCAGCGAACTTTTCCTTTCAGATTTAAACCCTGAGAAAGAACCACAGGGTGACTCTTTTTGCTGCTACAAAAACAAAGTGGATTCCAGCAGCTATCTCACATCACCAGYCAGACTGAGTAATTGATCTCTGGGGATTGTTTAAGCTCCCCTTCTCAAATTCAGGAAACATCTGCCAAAAGTAATTAAACACAAACACATGAGTTGTAAAAGGCTAAAACAGGATCTCTGCTTTCAAGCTATAAATGAAGGCAGGAACACAAGCAGAGGTCAGACTGAGACAATAAACACTAAATCCTCATCCATCACGGCATTCTGCCACTGAAAAGCCTCAATACTCTGACTGCAGCTTCCAAAACTTCAACAAATGTTTTTGYATCTTTTTTTTCTACTAATCAGAGCTTTTTACACAAAATTTAAATTTAAAAGGAACAGATTTTATACGTTGACAGAATGTTTGAGGATTTTTTTTTCCCGGACACTGATAAATTTGTGTTTTTGAAAGAAAAACCCGCAAAGGTCACTAAAACAAATTTAAATTGACAAAGATAATGTGAAACAAACTCAAAATTAATAATTTAAACATCAGTCTTTGTTTTTGAGTTTTGGTTCAGCAGATTTAATTTTAAAATAAACTAGAWACTGCATAGTGGTAACATAATGACCCCCACATGCAGAAATACACCATAACTCACAAGTCTTTATTCCTAATAAATGTCATGCTATAGGTGCATCCCAAAATTGTAGTAGTTTGGGTGGGGGTCTTTCTTTTTTTTGGAGGGGGGGRCATTGGTTGACCTGATGGATAGCCCCTCATCAGAGCTAAACAACCAAAGAAATCTGAAGCTCCCATGTTTAATAGTTTTTGAGCAATAACCCTTTTTGTATGTCCAGATAACCTTTTTTCAGATAAATTGGGGGTCCGGGCGGAGGGGGGCACTGATTGTGGGCCTGATGGATAGAGCTTCATCAGAGCTAAACAACAAAAGAAATCTGAAGCTTCTATGTTCAACAGTTTCTGAGTTTTGAGCGATTTTGCATGTCCTGACACCCCCTCTTTGAAAGGAGCCCCCTCCTCAAATATGGGGTCTATCATAAAACCGTTGGCTGGCGCAGTGTAGGTCAGACTCATCTAAAGTCCTGCCAAATTTCATGTTGATCGGTGCAGCTGTTTTTGTGGTAATATAGCATGTTCAAAAAAGTTTGCACAACTTACCACGTATGTGGGGTAAGTTGAGCCATATTCCTAAAACCCACCCCTCCACACACACACTTCATCCTTCCCCAAAAACTCRACTGCACCACTCACTTACCTACCTTTCCTTAAATAAAAGTCACTTTTTCCCCATCAAGCATATTTTATTTGTTGTACACAATTCATCAGGTACAATAACTTTGTTTACTGTTATAAATCACTGCTAAACTGTTGTTTATTAAAAACAACAACAACAACAACAAATAMCAAAATTCTTTCAAGAATGCTTGGCAAGCGAATATTAAAATTTTAAAAAAATAATAATAAAAGCACTAGGAGTGAATTCTTGTTCCAGAATCATAGTTTCTTAACATAAGGGGCAAGTGGCTCAACTTCCCCCAAAGCTACCATTTTCACTTTGCTGGTTCCCACAGCTAAAATGCTTCACTTTAATGCTAGGTTTATGACCTCAAGTTGTAGCTCACAGATACAACAACTGATGTATAAAACAAATGTAAAAATAACTGTTATGAGCTAAACACAATTCCTGTTAAACTAGTGAC